TTTAAACACCACAGCTGCTTAAATAAAAAGCAAGATTTTGAATATTTCCCCCCTGCTACTGATTATTTCACACATGCAAAGCAGCACATTGTCAAACCAACGTCAATTCATGTGTGTATTTCTTCAACTCAGAAAGACTTATTTTCCTTAACAACTCAAGACCCACCTGTGGACTTCAAAAAAAAAATGGAAAAATGGAAAGAATGAGTTATTGTGAGTCAGTCAAAAACGGATCATTTCAGACTAGGTAACAGTTGATCATTTTGAGCTGTCTCAAAGAGAAAACAATCCTTGAAGTGTCTGAAAGATGAAATACTTATCAGGTTTTGTAACATCAGGTTTTGTATCTGGTAATACCTGACCTGCTCTGTGTGACACAGCAAGTTTCCTAAAGGAAAGGTTAAAACAGCTATTCTGCATAGGGAAGGCTCCAGGGACACTCCAGAGCCCCTTGCAGTGCCCTAAAGGGGCTCCCAGAGACCTGGAGAGGGATTTGGGACAAGGGATGGAGGGACAGGACAAGGGAGAATGGCTTCCCAATGACAGAGGGGAAATTCATGTTGGATACTGGGAAGAAATTCTTCCCTGTGAGGGTGGGGAGACCCTGGCACAGGTTGCCCAGAGAAGCTGTGGCTGCCTGAAGTGTCCAAGGCCAGGTTGGACGGGGCTTAGAGCAACCTGGGCTAGTGGGAAGTGTCCCTGCCCATGGCAGGGGGGTGGAATGGGATAGGTTTTAAGGACCCTTCTAACCCAAACCATTCTGTGATCCTATGAAAAGAAAAAACTATCAAAAAATATTCCCATTCCATAAAGTGAGTTCACTAGATGTCCTCTTTCTAAATGAAGCACATGAGATGCCATGTACATCTGACAGCACTTAGCTGACCCTGTGACTTCGGGTTGAGTAGCACTGGACACCTGCTCCCTCATCACCCCTTCTCTTTTCTGAACCACATTTTTATTACCTTCTTGTATTGTCCAAGACAGCTATAACTGGAGTCTACTAAATAAATTTGCTTGAGAAATTTATATGAGATTTGAAAGTTTAATGCAACTGCCAAAGATTTTGGAGTGCTGGGAGAATTAATCTCACTACTCATTACATTTATTGATTCCAATCAAGCTTCCGGACATCAGCAGAGGTGCCACTGCTAAGAAATAAGAAGTTTCCAGGAAATCTGTACGTAAACCTGAAGTGACTGCCAGCTTTGGGAAAGGAAAAAATGCTCAGAAAGAGGTGTGTAATCTAAATGCCAGTAAAGGCAGTACTAATAGGTCATCATTCACCACATGGGAAGCTTTCTCCAATACTGGTTTTGTAGCCAACTCAAGTTAAAACCAACTCCTTGAGCCTGTAACAGGGCCAGTATTTATAACAGGCTTTTCTCTTTAAATACTTTTTGAATTAGGGATGAAAACAATAAGGTGCTTCCACACCCAAAGGCTGGGGGTTGTTATTTTCTTTTTTTTTTTAATCACAAGCTGAAAGTAGTTGAAGGTAGAAGCTAAACAGCCTCTCCAGCTGGTACATCTGCATCAAATACAAGTGGAGGCTTTTCTTTTGAGAATGGAAGAAAACAGTGATTGTGAGTTTTGGAAATAATTTATCACATTTGCTACAGTAAATCTGAGATAAGAAAAGTATTTGTGAACGGATGAAAAATAATGAGGTAATTTTATGCAAAATAACCACAGAAGTATCCACTTCCCACTGAGGACAACCCCACTGTTGTCAGACTCTGGCTTAGCTACGGGAAGAGCTACTTCTTGGGACTCCAATTTTGTGGAACTGTTTGTGAGGACAGAATCAGTCTGAGCACACAGGTGGGGTCTGTTCCACACTAAAGCAGTTGTTACAGATCAATGAAGTAACAGGAAATTTTTGCCCCCACAGCTTACAACTGCAGTCAGGAGGAGAGTGAGAGAAGGTAAGGGAGAGCAAGTGAGAGAGGTTTGCAGTGCCCAGGAACACAACAGTGGCGTGAGATCAATCCAGCAGAAACCACCACTGCTCAAATGCATTTCATTACATCAGGATTTCCATATGTCTGCCATCACCACAATTACAGCCTCTATTAGCCAAGTCACAATAGGAATACCAGGGCAGGAAGGCCCTAGAGTTGGGACAAAGATTTTCCAGCAGCAGCTTAGAATCTCAATCACATTAAGGTTGGAAAAGACCTTTAATATCAGCAAGTCCAACCACCAACCCAGCGTGTTCACCCACGTCCCCAAGTGCTACAAACGTGTTTTGAAAACCTCCAGGGGTGGTGACTCCAACCACTCCCCTGGGGCAGCCCCTTCCAGTGCTTTACAACTCCTTCTGTGAATTCTTTTTTTCTTAATATCCAATCTAAACTTCCCCTGGTGCAACTTGAGGCCCATTTCTCTCGTCCTGCCACTTGGCTGCTCGGGAGAAGAGTCCAACCTCCACCTCACTATAACTACCCACGCCTCACTTAAGGTTCCCACAAAGATTGTAACTTGAAACTTTACCCAAGCAAGTTCTCAGGTGGGTGAAAACACAATTATTTCATTTCATACAGCTCCTACTACAGTCCTTCCCTAGGACTGAAGTGTTAACCACAGCTGATGCTAATGCAACAACACAACCCACCCAGCAGTTCAAGAGTTTGGTTGAGCACAGCACAAAAACTATTTTATTTACATGACTGAAAACTAATTTTAACATAATTGCTTTTCACTTTTTTTTTTTTTTTTGGTGTGCATAAAGCTACAATGGAAAACACCTGGGAAAAGAATTATTCTAAGAGTTTGCTGCAACTCTCAATATCTGAAGTATCATTTTTTACTCACCGTGGTGTGCTAATAAACAAGAGCAGTACCAACAAGCCCTGCCTGAAAGATCTTTCTGGAACACCTGTGAAGCAACAATTGCTTGAAATGGTTGGGATGGCTCATATTTTAGAGTGGCTCATATCCATTACAGTGGATCAACATTTACTCCTTAACAGAATAAATACTTTTAAACTTTCCCATTTCTGAACTTTGTGCTTCAAACTTAAAAGAGAAAAAAACCTGCAACGCTAAACAGTAAAACTTCAATAACTTGTCAGGATTCCTCAGTGTTTATCATTTTGCACAAATACAGCCTTGATGTAGTTTAATCTTAGCTATTCCTTACAAAATTAAGTTAAATGTAAACGATAAATAACAATTAGCCCATTCAGTCTGAATTTTCTGATTTTCTGTGTCCTCATTTGACTTCGTGTTGAGTGTTATTTTGAGACATGCTGCTAAAAGAGTGACATAAAAAGTGGCCTAAACTTCCTGACTAGGTTGATTGTAACCCTGTTACTTCCACAAAAATACAGAATTTTACTGCCTGGATAATACCTAACCTAGCACATTAACCTATCAGGCAAAGGGATCAACTTGTGGAATTTTATGTACAGGCTTTCATTAGTTGTGGCTGAGAAGGCATCGCTGCCACAAATCAGAGTTTACTCCTAATAGACTGTTTGACTCCTCTTTGCAATTGGAAGTACAAGTACAGCCATAAAAACCTGCACAGCCACTTTCTTGTCTATGAGCTCAACCTCACAGGCTTCATGGGACACACCTTAGCAGAGGGAGTGTCAATTAAGAGAGAGTGTGCTGAAAGATAACTCATAATATTAAGAAAAACCAAACCAAACACACAAACAAAAAAAAAACCCAAACAAAAAACCAACAACAGCAACAATAAAAACAAAACCTAAATAAACAACCAAACCAAACAAACAACCCCAACCAAACCATCTTTGTGTTGCCATTTTTACATATTTATAGATGCCACTGAGAAACACCAGCATGAAAGTTAATTAACCAGGTTGACTGACAAAGGAAACAGATGTGAGTATAGTAATCTTCTGCACTGGAATTAATTTCATCAAGTTTTAGGTAATGCCACAAATAAAGGTCAGGTTGTACTACTGAGATGATCAAGAACACAAACTGTAAATCTATTGCAACATTTAATAACGCACATTTCCCACAGGGCAGGAACCCTTTCAGGCAACCATGTGATGAGCAAATACTTAAATGTCACACTTTGAAAATTACTTAACCGGTGCCTTCCACAGCACATACTTCCCCTTCAAAACAGAACAAGAGGAGCAGCTTCTGAAGCACATAAGACATTTCACACTGTATTCCTAATTGCCTCTAATTGTCAGTTATAATTTTGCACACCACAATTTAAACCCTATCAAGGATGCTTTCCATCAGCTGCAAACAGATAAGAAAAGGCCGGAAGGGAACATTACGTTCATGTGCTTGGACATCCCCTGCAAACCATAGTTAAGAATGTTTTATCTACTCCCATGGTGGTATTTCCTGAATTCCATATAATTTGGATTTTAAAGCATCAAGTAATGTGATAACCAAGCTCATCTTCAAATTACTTTTCCAATACTTCATTCTTCCTCTCCTGTTTCTGTTCTGTATTTATCTGATTTCAGCCTCCTGCCAAGGATCTGCTGCTTTCTGCCATTCCAGTCTGCTCCAGTTTTCAAGCATTTCCTTCCCATCTCTTCACCTCTCCAGTTCTCTTCCCTTAGCTGCCGATTAAGAGTCATCCCCTTGGAAATTTTTGTTCCAAGGACATTTGATCACCAGAACTGAGCTAAACTTAAATATTAAGTCGACTTGCCAAACTAAAGCAAATTAACATGTGTGATTCTTCAGGTATCTTCAATAAAGATACAGATTAAAGACAAATCACGGGGTTGGACGTGAGGAGGAATTTGTTGCTGGAAAGGGTGGTCAGGCCTTGGCAGGGGCTGCCCAGGGAGGTTTGGAGTCCCCATCCCTGGAGGTGTCCCAGGAAGGCCTGGCCGTGGCACTCAGTGCTCTGGGCTGGGGGACAAGGTGGGCATCGGGCACAGGGGGGACTCAATGATCTTTTCCAACACAAATGCCATTGTTTTCTTTATTATTAAAGAATTTTGTTCCCTGAATCCAATAGATCAACCCAAAATGAAATAAAAGACCCTCACCTTTCAATCCTGGGCGTACGCGGCTCCCGACAAACCCCCCAGCTGAATGTACTGTATCCCTTGTTCTTCTCTGAGCAACCTTCTTCTCCAGCTCCCTCAGTCTTGCTTGCTGCTGGACCTTATTCTACGTCTGTGCAGAACCACCAGAGGCATTATCCACGGAGCAGATCCCTTCTACTCCCTCTCCACATTGCTCAGCACGTTACTTGTGGCGCTGCAGTCGGTGAGAAGCCCATGCTCTGTGAAAGACAAAGCCACAACGAGAGAGAAGACAATTCAGAAGAGACAGCAAGACCCAGATCAGACAGCAGTTGGCTGAGTTGGGTGCAGAGCATGTGCTCAGCACAGGACTCAGCAGCCTGAAGGATTTCCAAGGGAAGTGCCTTCCAAAATGACTTTTAAGACCAAATAAACAACTTGAAGCCCGTTCTTCCCCAGCCAAACCTCATTTTACACTGGTTAGTTACAAAGCAATTACTGCCTGTTACAAAAATCACACAATGGCTTGGGTTGGAAGGGACCTTAAAGATCATCTTATTCCAACCCTCCCTTGCAATATTGCAGTATTTTCTAGAAAAAGAGTTCTGCTCATGCACCATTGTTCTTCAGATGGGGGAAAAAAAAAGCCCTTAACCTCTTAGCACTTTTCATTAACTACAGCTTAAATCCCTATGTATCTTCAGCAAACCCCAAATGGTCTTAAACAGAGATCCAACAGCATTTACCAGAGCACAGAAAATATAACAGGAATGTTTCTTGTGTATTCTCATCAGAACAAAATAACACTTTAAATAAAAATCATTTTATGAAGACATTTCAAAAATACTAAAGAAAATATAAAGTGCAAGGCTTGTTCTGTTTAATATTTTTTTAAATGAAAATGGTAATAAAATACGAAAATTGTGAGTTAAAATTTCTTTAAAACATCAGAAAAACTTGCAGCTTGAAATAGTAATAGTTTCATCCAGGAAAAACAAAGTGAAACACACTAGAATGAATTTTTAATATCCAATTAATGGACAGATGATGACTTGCACAGAGCCACAGTGCCAGCCTGGGGAGCTGGAGTGGGCACAGAAGCCTCGAGCTGAGCAGCAGAGCTGGAGCTGCTGCACCATCAAATGCAGAAGCACAGGATGATCTGAGCCAGTGGGTTTTGTCTTCCAATAACTTTTTCTTAGTGAAAAAAAAAAAAAAATCAATTTGCAACACTTTTCGTAGATAAAGCAGACAAAGTCTTGGTCCAGATGGCAAGAAAAAGAAATCTATGCAATGCTAGGGCTGAAAACCTCAGGAACACAACCTAGGCAATAAGTTTTGCTGGTAAGGAAGCAGGGCAGAATAGCAGAGTTCCTTTAACCATGCTTGAAACAAATACCAGTTTCCAAATCACTTCAGACGCACATATATGCTAAACCTGCTATAAACATTCCATAAATATTCAGGAATAAGTTCTTTAGTTCTTTGTCACAGGGATGAGTAAAGATGCTTGTGTAAAGAGTTGGTGCTGAAGAATAATAACCTCTTTTTGATTGATGTAGAGGAAATTAGAGGCACTTCAATAACATAAAATATCCCTCAACCATGGGTCATATGCTTAAAATTAGAAAAATCAAGAAATTCAACAACACGAGAAAACTGATCCTGCTCCAAAGTATGAAATGTTTTCTTCCTGTTTTTCAGCACTATGAAAAAGAACTTTTCTAAAGCTTCTTAAATGAAGTTACCTACAAAAAGATAGGGGAAAAGGACATTTAAGAAGGGAAGGCTCACAGTCAAAGTGTTGGAAACATCAGCATTATAGCTACTGGTGCAATCTTAATTCACCTCTGCTGTGCATATTTATCATGAAACCAGCTGGAACCACACTCCTCTGCTCCACGAGGCTCCTGCCTTAGGCCCAGCATCAAAGGGAGAAGAATAAAGTAAATGGTACATCCGGAAATTCCGAGTGTTTGAATTCCTAACTTAAAAAAATTCTTTGTACAAGACGTGCACATGCACACACAGACATGTATCACCCCAGTGTCAAACGTTTCACAGCTCAAAGATTCCTCCCCCCACCCCAAAAAAGGCTGACCCTCCAAGACTTGCTTTCTATCAAAAATATTCACCACTCCCCTCTTCTGGTTATCAGTGCTATGAAAAAGAAAAACTACCACGAATTTCACAAAGCTGTTCTCCAGACAAGTGACATTTAGCCCACTGTTCCTCCACGTTCCTGGCAATCTTCCCCTGCTCAAGTGTGCTAACATTAATAAAGAATTCTAAGGTGAGCGAGAACTCTTAGGAATATGTCAAGGACTGGGGGAGAAAAGCACCATTGGAGAGGAAAATCCATTAGAAAAATGAAAAACAAGATCAAGCCAACTGTGAATCTCATATTGCAGGGCTACCAAGCTGCCTTATTAAATTGCCAGCAAGAAGAAAAATAAACAAAAAGGATGGAATTAGGAGAAGCAGAAACCCACTCAGTATTGGACTATCTGAAAGTCTGCCTCAATTCTAATAACGTATGTGAAAAAAATGAGAAGTCTTTTACTTTTTCCAGGCATTTTATTAAAATACATTTTATTGGAATACACACAAACATACTCTTCCTGTTTTCCAGAGAAGTATGTGAGTATGCACATGTGTGTGAGGGAAGAAAGACAGGCTCTAACACTAAGGCATTTGTTCCAAGAATTCCCCTTGTTCCCTGTTTTCACCTACCACACTTCCCTGTTTGATCCATCTTTTCCTCTCTATCAGCAGGTTCAAAGGTTTGGGTCAATGAAGTCCCTGAATACTCACCCTAGAGCAAGAAATTTGGTCAGGAGATAAAAGAGCAGAGAAGTCTACAAAGTGCAAAAGTTCAGCAAGCTCAGATAATCAACTTAGTGCAGAGATCTGATCTTAAATAAACCATCAAATATTGCTAATGATTCAGAATCACAGTATAATCTGTCAGATCCTCTCAAATTTCCATCAAATACATTTCCAGGACACGAAGGGCTTCAGTTAATTAATAAGGATTTCTGAAATCATGTAAAACATCAGAAAAAAATCAGAGGTAGGGTCATTCGTCTTAAAAAGGGGAATAAAAAATTAACAAAATCACTTCACAGCACTCAAGGGGAAAAAAATTAAATTAATCATATCCATCCTCAACATAAAACACTCTAAACTTTGCAGACTGGGGTTCCCAAGTGGAAATACATGGGCTCAGGTATATTTGGACCCCAGTAAATATAGCATAGAATGTTTCATGACATGACTATTCATTAACATTTCATATATTTATTATTTTTTAACTAGTGCTTACAGTACAAAACTACTACATACATTAAAAATTGACTGAAACCAAATGAAAACTAGAATTTAAGGATGGGAGTTGCCAAGGTTCAAATAGCAGGGATCACAAAAACTGGCTAAAAGTATACAAAATAAACCAGTCCAAACAGCAGAAGTTATTTTTCTTATACAAAGTCAACCACATTAATGAGGATGTTTCCTATGGGAAAACATATTATAATTTGAGTAATTTTTAAGTAAAAGGTTAATGGATATAAATTACAAAAGACAGCCCTTTACTGGGGAGACAAATCATCTCATTAAGCCTGGTGACATTCCTGGCTTCAGTTACAACAGAACTGCACCCTTCAGTACTTCAGTAACCTTTAATTGATTTATTTTCTCAGCCATTATCAACTGTACGAAGGAGTGAAAGTTTCCCAGTGCCAAAGAATGAACCTCCCCTGGGGAGAAACCCAGGGATGTCTGAAAATCAGGGAAACAGACCTTTATGGAGGGATTTCCTGAGACCAGAACAAACCATCGTTGTCCTGCTCCAAAAGACGACGTTCACACGAACACGAACAAGCCTGGTGATGGCATCCAAACCCAGACAAAGAGTGGCAGCTACAGGGGGAGAAACCCTTTCCAGGAGCAGTTTTCTGACTCAGTTCTTACATCTCCTGTTTGTTCTCCTCCCCAAGTCTCTCTTCTGGCAAGGAATCTCTCTCCCAGAGTGCTGCCTGCATCTCATTACTAAAGGCATCCACTTCAAGCCAAGTCTTTTTTCATCCTAATGTAAAAATCTTCATTAACAGAAAAATGCCAAATGATCTATTTTTCTTTAGAGGTGAGCCAAATCTGCATACTTGATTTCTTATTTAACTGGACCCATTTATAACAACTACAGACTCCAGTTTCTCCCTGCCATGATAGAGGCTTCCTTCTTAATACTGCACCACAGCCAGTCAACTCCCAAAAAAACCAGAAAAAAATGAATATATCTATGTGATTAATGCTTGACTTATAGTACCAGTCAGTGAAACTTCAGCAATACATTTTTTTTTCCACAACTAAATATAGCAGTAGCTATATTTTCAGTCACTATAGCTAAAATAATTAGCTAGAATTAGTGTATTTTTAACTAATCTAGTTAATAATTGCCAAAATGGAGATGATGTCAAGCTGGAGGTTGCAGAAAGAGAGCAGGCAGCAGCAGCAGCTGACACCAGACAGATCCATTACATTATTTCTCCCATTTTAACTCCAGACTAGACCCAAGTTTTCCAACTACAGCTATGATCTACACTGGAAGCAGAATCCTGTTCACAGGACTGTTACACACAGGAACTGTCTTCCTAGCTTCCAGCCTTCTAAAAAGAAATCCTGCTGGCAAAAAAACTCATCAGCAAAATTCTGAAATTCCTCAAAGAACATCATATATTATGGAACTGTGTATGTGAGGTAATGGTTCAGTTCTGGCCCTAGCAGAAATGTGAACTGAAACTGCACATCCTGAAACGAAACACCAGTAGTAAAAAAGCAAACTAAGAAGAAAAAGGAAATATCACAGTGGGTATCAGCAAGGCATTGAGAAAGCTCTCAGCATCAGCCTGACCCTCTGGGTTGAAATCCAGGGTGCACATCACAGGGAGGTGGCCACTGCTGTCCACCTCCTGCTGTCAGTCTCTTCCAGTGCCACCAAGACAAGCAGAAAAAGCTGCTGAATTGAAATATAAGATCTGTAGCAGGACTAAAAACATCTTGTGTTTTTATGTTGTCTTGAAGCACATACTGAACCAGACCATGAGAATCCCAGCAGCTGATGTATTTAAAAGTCCTAAAGCAATGAAGAAAGCTTTCCACAGCCGTCTTTTCCCAGGCCCTGCAGAGCTGCTGCTTTGACTGTGATAGGGGACATCAAAGAAAACATAAATGCCTGTGTCTGGTTAAAGGGATCTGTCAC